ACGCGCGCGATATTTTTGTACTTAGTCAGCTACTCGTATAAATAACCATACGAGCAAAATTGTTTTCCGTCAAAATAATTTTTCACTGTTATCTACCAAAAGTTATATTAAAATTTACCATTTACCATATTCTTAAAATTTTGAACCTATACCAATCAAATTTTAATGATTATAGGGTAAATCAGGGGAAAATATTTATCGATTCCGCCAGTATAGATAGTTTAAAAACAATCTATTGATTCCGTCACCAAACCAAACAAGGAAATAATTAATCTATTCGAATAAAAATTAAAGTTTGATTTTACAATTTAGATATATAATTTTATTTGAAATACTTGAATAAAAATAACGTTGTAAAGAGTGTTTTTTTTCTGAAAATATATCAACTTAATATTGCTGTTTAAAATTGGATCTGTTTCGCCGGCATGACGCATAAGACGACTAATATATTTGGTTCTGTACTAATTATTTATCATCAATAACAATATCGCTTTTAACGAAAAACTTATTTGGTAATAATAGGCTAAGCCGTTAGGGTCACTTTGGCAAAAAATGGAAAACTCCAATCTTATTACAATAATTTGATAGTAAAATTTGGCTGATGTACTTGGTAATATTGCAGGATTAGGCAGCCAGGCAACGTCATAATTCCGTCGGAATGTTTAGCATAAATTTACGAAGAGAGTATAGTTGACGATAATATATTATTATATACTGAATAATGTGTACCTGCAGGCTATAATAATAACTAATAAATGCACCTACCGATTTTATCAGAATGTAAGTAACTGGCATCAGTTGTGTGAAAAAAAAAAACAACGAAACAGCACTGATCAACAATATTCTTGTAGTATCGGTTTCATCTTGATCAAAACTAAATTATACAACATTGATTAAACGGTTTTAAATGTATTCGATATATATAATTTCCATAGGTATATTAAAATATCGTATCAACGTAAAATATTATATAGTATTTGATATTTTCAACTGTCAATAGGTAAATTAATATTTTATATGCTCCTAGAAATAAGAAACTATTTTTTAAATATACATTAGAATGATGCAGTCATTCTAGTTGCCTGATGGTGTTTCAGCAAATATTTCTACCAACGTTATTATTGTATACAATTGTATTTAAAATACCTGGTCCCACACACGATGTGGAGTCCAGTATTCATTTACATATGAAATAAAATTAAATAAAAAATACATAAATTACATTAAAATATTTCTTAAGTATAGGTGTTCAATGCATATAATATGTCTTCTGATCACGTCTTTAAAAATTTAAAATAATTAAAGCCGACATAATAAATGCAGATGAATTATTATTATTATTATTATAATTTATGAGGCATAATTTAAAATGCATAATGAATTGATCTCAAAAGTCAAAAGCACCATTTTACTAACGATTGTTGAGCTATTTTAAAATACAAATGACAATAATAATTATCATATAATTTGAAAACATGTAAGCAGTGATAGAATAATAAATAATATTATCAATTGTATTATTAGTACGCTAAAAATATTATAACTATTTTACGAATCAATAGTCAATACAATATATTATGTATCTCAAACACTTTTGACAAATGTTTATCGTGTGTATCTTGTTGTTGTTCATTTTTATAATATTTTGTACGTAATATTTAAACGCATAACGTTAAATATTAAATATCATATTATGCGCTTGGAAATATGCCAACGGTGTGAGAGTTCGATTGATCGTTTACACTAGGTATACCCATACCGCAGTGGTCCACGTCCATTACCGTCCGACCTGAAGCAAAAACATACAATCGATGGCAATCAATACTACCGCTAATAATAATAATAATAATAATAATAATAGTTTTCGATACCCCGTTGTTCGAGTGAAAATCCGGAGTTTTGAAACTACAAAAACTATTGACGGTGGTACGGTGTGTGCACTCTGCATAATAGTGATTAACGTCTGTTGCGCGCGATACGGACCAACGCGGTTAACGAAACGCTTGGGGATTTCAAAATCCGATGGATTAATATTTTCACAGAAGTCTCGATGAGAACTGTTAAGCTACGAGGAGTGCTGGCAAAAAATTGCGTGTGGGCACGTAACGTTATATTTCTATGAAGATGTATAGCTAACAAAAGTATTTAGTATTGCGTATATTATTTTAGGAATGTTTTATTATCATGGCCTTTATCGATTTGTAACACAAATATATTGCACTTGACGTATTTTTTAATCAGAAAAGTCGTTTTTACTTGTGCTGCAAATATGTAACCTAAATCTCAAGTCTAAAAACATACTTGTTTTTACAGCTGCAGTGATTCATTTCAAATTACAACTACAGTACTACTGCAGCATCTCACTTTTTAGTTTTTATACAGCTATTGACGTTATATTGTTAGTTATTATACTGTTGTGGATAGTTATCAATATTTTAAATTATTAAAAATATTTTCTTAATATGAGACATTATGTTTTTTTTTCTTTTTTACTTTAACAGCTATTTAATATTCTTAAGTTATTCGTATGACATATTATGATTTGATTTGGTATTTTCGTACAGATTTTTAAATTATATAATGACGATAATATTACATTATTATGTAATTAAGCCGTGTTCAACATTTCAATTCAATTCTACAATCCTTGTGACGACTTGTAATGATAAAATGCACATAACATAATACTAACACATTCATAATAAATAATAATATAGTATTCTTATAATTCTACGATGATTACTAGTTGGCACATCGACATACATAACATTATACCGATAGGTTTCATCCTAAAGGTAGAGGTAAATTCTAAGAAAAATCTATTTTTGAGTATGTTTTAAAAAAATAAGCACACATACATAAGTATATAATATTAGGTATCTCATTTAATCATAATGTTGTGTAATATTTCTCAACTGCTTGTGGTTTTTGGACTGCAAAATGTGTAAAAGTCAATCGCACCTTTATCTTATAAACAATATCGCAAAAAAACACGCAACTATAACGAGATTATAATGTTAATATTACATATATTTTAAGAATAGAATTGATAAATTATTTTTACTGGATTTCACAAAGAAAGAATAATATAAATATTAGGTATTGTTTACACTTTGGATGAAGAAAAACTATTTATTTGTCTATGATTGGATATTACATAAACAATTTACAACATTTTAGGACAGATGATCCATTCCAAGTAACTCATGTCGAAAAAATGTCATTGTAAAAATATTGTAATGCTAAAAATATAAAAAATACAAATAATAAATACGAATATAATAATAATATTGTTTGTTATTTAAGTATGTACTAAATATATACCTATGTTATGTGTAGTCTAGAATAATAAATTAAAAATAACTTCAGTGAATCTTCTCTAACGGAAACTTCTAAATAGTGGACGTTTTTTTTATAATTTGTCAAGATAGATTTAATATTCGTATTATTATTAACACTATATTAGAAATTAAATGTTTGCTTATTATTAACATATTCTAACTGAAAATTTAAAATATCTCGTTGAGTTTGAAAAATAAATATACATATACATATTTAAATTATTTAATTATATGATTTTTAGTAAAAATAAAATAAATTTAATCATTAATAACTCAGTGTAAAAAATACTATATTTTATTGTCTCACCCTCATTTAGACTTCTCACCCTGCCGAACCCACTCTATTGGAAATGATGTCTACACCGTGAACAAATTCTCTCCTTAGTGAAGGAAATAGTAATGGGCTAGACATACTCTACCCCTACCGAGTGATAAGACATTGACAAAGACTTATAAAACATTTCAATAAATAAATAAATGATGAAAAAAAAAAATTCACTTTATGGACAATCCCAAGTCTGTTAAAATAAGAGGGGAAATGTATTGGTAAAATATTGTAGAAATACATTTATAGCATATTAAAGTTAAAGTTTGCCTAAATAAATAACAATTTTCAATATTTTAAACATTTTAACTTAAAAGAATTTCTAAATACATTGTAATTTTCAGAAATTTACCTAGACGTAAAACATGCAAAAACAATTGCATAACCTAACCTTAATATGCATAATATACGTATATTTACTATTTTACACAATGATTATGATTCATGAATTAATTTCTTTATCATATAAATGTAGGTAATGATGTACCCAGATTTAAACAAACATGTCCATACGACATAAAATTCAATTTCGATTATTGCAGTATCTTATATTTAAAATTATAACACGTATAAAACAAAATGAAAATTTACGATTATTGATTTGATTAAATAAAGTTTAATTTATCAAAGTTAAAAAAAAAAAAACTAATAAATTCCGTTTTATGTATACTTCATTTTTAAAATTTGTTTATAATATTTAATTAATATATTTTATAGATAATAAAATACTGTAATTTATTTAAATGTATTTCCTGTTGTACAAAAATAAATCTATACTGAAATGTAACTGATTATCTAGCCGATCAAGGAAAATTCGAATTGATTTTTTCTTCCTTTTACTCAATTTGAAAACCAGAAAAAAAAGTTTCTAAGAATTTTTCTCACGATATTATTATGAAGATGTGGGTATTAGATTTTCGGAAGCAAATAATAATAGTATTAATTTAAACTCTATATTTTAGGCGTATAGAAATCGACCATCGATAATCAACCGGCATTCGCGCGTTTATGCTGCGTATCGATAGCGGTTCCTGTATAATGTGGTAATAATATTATAATTCATAATAAGTACAGCTGACAATCGCGCATGAAAATGAAAACAAGTTTATACGAATTTCTAGTAAGTTGATTTTATTTATTTTTACGAAATCATATCTAAAAGACTAAAACGCACAACGCGACTATCGCGTTTAAAATAGTACCGGACCACGAGACCACTAGAACTCTGAGCTTGTTTCTTAGACGAATGGTGGGGACGAGAATGCGAGATGAACACGTTAACTATGACTGAGGCCGTCATCCAAGATAGTTGGTTAGGTAGGTATAATAATGCCTGCTCAGTCTTCTCAGTCCTCGTGCGTGAGTTGGGTGCAGGTTCATTCGTTAAGTAAAATATTATACATTAGTTTATTTTTTCGTGTGAAACAGTGCGCAGGCACGTTTGTGTCATTATGTTTGGCGGGCTTATTCGATGTTAGTGCATTTCATGTCGTTAGCCTTAATACATTAATATATTATCGTAAACGTTGTTATTATTAAAGGTACGCATATAACGATTGATCATTGACATGTAACAGTATACACTACGGTCGAAAATATGAAAGCTGACGTGAGTACAACTGCTGTGAATATAATATATAATTATAATAGGTACCTACTGGACTACTTAAAATTTAAGGGAGTTCAAATTTATTCGTATATGGAAACAAATCAATAATATTTTATATATTTATATGTTATAAAATAAAAATGTTTACACTAGATTGCGATGATCGGATTTAAGTGGCTTTTTAAAGAATTACCATTATGAATTTAGCTTAGTAAATTTAATATTTTTACTTAATAATAAAATAAATTAAAAATTAAGCTTTAAATATAAATGTCTTTATTATTTGTCAATTGAAAAAAATAAATAAATATCGGCTGTATATTTGTAAAAAAAGATACCTTTGGGTAAAAGAAGTGTATATTTAGGAGTAAGGGGATTTAAGTTTGTCATTTAAGAATGACAAAAGCAATATCTGAAATAATAATTAATTTAAAAAAAAATAGTATGCCAATTACTAGTATAGATAGCATCTATGTATTAAATCGGCTGAATTTGAATTGCTACCTATATGTTAGCCGCTTTGGTTTATTTACGACGAATCTACTATAAAAAATATTTATACGTATTATTATTTTTTTGGTAAGACAGTTAATGTTATGATTAAAACTAGGAATTTTTCAATATGGAGATTAATGTTTAGATATAACTATATTTTCACTTTTGGAGGTTACGGACAGACAGGTATAATATATAATTATAAGTACACACCTAAGAAGACAAAGTTCCATCAATAAAAATAATTATTATTATAAATGAATGAAACAATATTACTATAGGATGTCAAAAAGTAGTGAAATAATCTACGATTATTTAAGTGTATAAAATCGTTAACTAAATAATTAATTTTATCTTTTAATAAAATACTTTTACAGACTACATAACTAAATTATTTAAATTTGTTTATCTATTTATATATTTAAAATAAAGAAGACCTATTATTTTAATATTGATGCATACATGTATAAAAATAGTAAATATCTTACTACTTATCAGTTAGATTAAGTTGGAACTTATTTAGTTTGAAATAATAATTTTATGATTTATAATACAAGAAATTAAATAACATTGCAACATACGTGATTATACTATTTACATAATATAATCGTAAATTATTCATTAACTATCAAATATGTATTCCGCTAATAGCTATTAAAACTTATTAGAAGGTCATTTTAGTTGACTGTTTAGTATTTTTATTATATAAATACTGAACTACTATTTGGTATGTATAATTTAAAATATATTTTTTATAGAAATTATGAAGACAATTGTACAACGCATATCTTCATATTTATTGACTTAATACATTTTAAAATATCTAACTTACTGTTGTGTACAATTTACAAATGCCCTAGTAATTTTGTTATCTGGATCTGCAATTTAAGTAAAACTTAGAAAATTTAAAATTACATACTTATGACAAATTGATCTAATTATACATTATTTTATTAATTAAAAGTGTTTTTCTATTATTCAATAACCAACAATAGGGCTTAAAATTTATTTGGTAATATAAATGTATCTATATTATCTACACAATTAATTATTTAACAATACATGTTAGCTATACATCATAAAATTATAGCTGTACCTATTTGAATCCGTATTTAGATTATCCATTATCAGTTTTAAAAATGAACATTTTAATAGAAATAAAATAACCTAACACGCATATATCTTATATATATTTCATTTTATTTAAATAAAATATTGTTTTCGAAGGGTTGAATAATAGTTACTACATTAATTACGGGTCAAGTAGAGTTATTTAAATACTTACCTAATACAAATAAATACTACAATTTTTTTTTTGTATTTACTAGGTATTTAAAATCATTTATTTTCACATATGTTAGTTATCTTTCTGTATAAAAATATCCAGATGATATTAAAGTTAAAATTATGAATAATTTGATGGTGAAATTATTTAAAGACTAATATTATTTGTAAATAATGAAAAATGTGGAATTGTTTTTTAATAAAAACTTCTTAAAGTTAGTTGAATTCTGACTACTGAAGATTGAATGATGTAAATTTCTAGACAGATTAAGGGAAAAAATAACTGCAGCTTTATAGTCAAAATAATAGAAATTTTATTTTGGATGTGTATTCTCAAAATTCAGAGAAAATACTTATCAAATTTTTTTTTTTTATACAATAGTCATGTTATATTATAGAAAATAGCAATTCAAAAGTTAAAAATAAATATATTGTTAAATGGTAATATTTGTTAGGTACTCTTTCTTTTAATAAATACTTATCACTAAATTTTTAGAAAAAAATATTCGTACGTGATTATTATAAAAATTTTACTTTAAAATTTTAATATCAAATTTATGAATATTAAAAATACATAATATTAATATCGCTAACTTTCTATGGTCATATTAGAATTTGATTACATCCTCGATTACATCGAATTTAATTTAATTGATCATTTTACGATATTAAATGTATAAACAAGCAATTTTTTTAATTTACTTTAAATCATTAATTTGTTTAAATTTTAGTTCAAGAAAAATTAGTTTTTGTAATAGTTATTTATAAAACAACTTTTACAAAAAATATTAATAAATTCAGTTTAAAACGTGACTTTTATATAATATTGAGTTCAAGAGTTCATAAATGTACTTATTTAATACTAGAAGATGTATAATAGATCCTTATTAGTATGGGTTCATTAAACATAATTGGTTTTGGATTAATTCGTAATTATAGATAATTTAATATAAACCTACATTAAACTATTTCCAAAATTAAATTAAACCATGGATCCAGCAATTTGTCATCCTTATTATTATTTTAATCGAAATTGATCTCTAAATAACTATCTTAACCAATTAATATATATTAATGTTGTTTTGAAAAATATAATTAAAATTTTTGTTTTTATCAACATATTTAAAATGTATTTTTATAATGAATTAATATAAGTAAAATTATGAGTCCCATAAAATGAATTTGGTTAATGGAATTCTGACGTTTAAACATTAGACACATACTATAATTAAAATGAATGCACGTTGAATTCGCACAACGATCGATTTATTATAATTATTATTTTTTTAAAGTATAATACTTAGCTTATTCAATAAAAACTACAACACAATTATATAGTTTATAAATTTATCAATTTTTAGTTATTTTACGAGTACCTACGTTGTAATAGATATATTTTATAGCATACATACGAGCACGTACTTAAATAAAATAATGTTAATTTACTAATAATTCAATTATTTACATTTTATTCATTCATAGTTATAAAATATTTTGTGATTCGTTGTATTCAAATATTGAAAATATACAATTGATCTTGGTTTTTTGTACTAAAAGTCTGCATTGAAGAAAATATTCGTTTTCTAATTTACAGATGACAAGTGTGTTTAAAAATTTGTACAAAAATTATACACTGTCCTTCGGGACATTTAAAATTTTATTTTTTCAAAGTAGCCTGAACTGTGAAAGCGTAATATCAATTTTAAATAGTTTTTTAATTTTTAAGTTAAAATTAGTATCATAGCAGTCGTCGTCATACGTGTGGAAAATCTTTTTTTTCTTTTATTTTGTTTTTCTTCTAAATATACATTGAGTAAATGCAATGCAATTAGTTCGGGTTTTGGACACCTTCATTGAACCACGACTCGCGTCTATCGGGATGTCAAGGATTTACCTTTCGGTACACAACAACACAACTGCTTCCAAGCGACAATCTGATGGTGACCCTTAACCGAATCCAAATTTAATTAACCTTTTGCACGGCAAAATAACATAATATGTATAAAATTAAGTAAGGACGTTATCTATTCAATTTGTTAACGTATATTGCACTATTGTTTTAATCGCAATTATTCGTAGATTACAGTCTGACATTTAAATAAATCCATCATGCATACATTCCAGGGTTTGCTTATAATCCGCATTATAATTGTTTTGTAATAACGTTCCATGTGTAGATTATTAAAAGTACAATTTAGTAACCTGATTAAAATAGTGCAATATACGGTAATATAAATTGCTTTAATTTTTTTTTCAATTTAATATTTTAAAAAGTTAACTAAAATCCATACTTATTAATTAGTCGAATACATTCAAATACTTTTAGAAATAAGTACAATACTTTAAATAGTTTAAAATGTTTAAATACTATAATATTTTTAAATAAAAAAAAAAAATATATATATACATATGTAAGACATTAAATCTATGAAAAGTTAAAGAATTTACCAATAAGCTGCAATTTTGTTTATACCTACAAAATCTTTAGAGGGAGAATGATACCGACGTAATTTTATAATAATAATTTATATTTCTTTAATAACTTTAATAACTAAACAATTCTAACTTAAAAGTATAAATGTTTTTTTTTATAAATTGCAATTTTTACTTTTTTTTATTTTACCTTAATTCATATTTAAGATTAAAAATTTATTATAGGCCAGCATAATATGTAAAAGAAATACTAGTAATTACATAATATTCATTCTATGGTATTTAAATATCTATTAAAAATACATTAAGTAAGTGTTTTTAACGAGTATCATTTATTTGTTTCAAACAAAATAGTTTTTCTTAAATAACTTACTTTAATCAAAAGTTGTTAAATTTATATTATATAATAAGTAATTACATAAAATAAATTTATATATGTATGCATAAATACTCGATTTAATTAATCTATTTCGATAAATTAATAGTTATTAATTTATGTAGTAATTTCAATTTGAATTAGTTTTTTATATCTACAGTTCAATACAAAAAACTAAGATAAAATTATTCATAAACCTCATTGAAACTCATCCTTCAAACATTTATTTTTAAATTTCGATCTTTTAGTTGAAAAAAAATAAATACATAATGATATAAATTTATTTACTTATTTATTTTAAATGAAATATTGACTTAAATTTTGCAAATAAAACTTTAATTTTTTATATAATTAACAAATTGTGTTTTACATTATAATAACATCTCGTATTTTTTTATATACTAACACTGGT